CCTACTCCTACTCCTACTGCTACTGGTACTGGTACTGGTACTGGTACTGCTACTGCTTCTACTACCACCACTTCTACTACTACTGCTGCCACTCCTTCAACTATTCTACTGCTGTACTCGCTGTTCGCCAAACTCCCAACAAGGTTCAGACTTCCCGGGGTTTTGGAAGGACTTGATGAACTTTGCCGGCCTTGATAGCACCGGCGGGGGCACCTGATTAGTCAGGTTCTAACAGTATTGGAATCAAGCTCTGCACAAACCACGCGGCAAAGAGACTGCCCAGAGATGCAGCCAAGCACATTTCGGGCTGGGCAGCTGGCCAAAGCACTGTAGAACATCGGCTCGATGTACATTCCGTGGACTATCAGTTCATAGGGCGGCAGCAGACATTACAGTGATCCCTCGATGCTTCAGGCCAACACGCTGTCTATTCTCGTGAACGATTGGGAGTCGGGTGATGACATCAGCGTGGACCAGGCGAAGGAGGAGCTGGAAGAGGCCCGGTTTGGGTGTTGGGGTCAGGGTTTAGACTCTGGAATGTGGCCCAGGATCCCTGCCTCCGACGTTTGTGAGTTATCGCCAATAATACAAAATGTCAGATTCCTTCACATTATTGCGGCATGGTATGGTTCCTGTAGAAATACAGCATTTCATACCCCAGAACCCTATTCTATTTATCAAGACCCTCCCAACTACATGATCCAGATCTTCCGATGCTGGCCCAATGTAGGATTCGGGACGTATGGGCTCGAGACATTTCAGCGCTTCGACTTGGAGTTCCTCTAAGGAGTTCGATTAGGAGTTGATTGGGTGTTTGTATAGGAGTTCCGTTTTTTCGTGATGTCTGTTCGTGATATCAATAATATGCATGCCCGATTGGTCTTCGGCTCATGGGCTAATGCAGACATGTGCCAGAGAACATTAAACCGCCAAACCATTGTTATCATTACTGGTAGTATTATTATTATTAAGAATTATTTTTATTATGACTACTATTAATTATTACACCGAACCAAAGAAAGGCCCTACGAGGCCCTACCTGCAAGCTGATGAGCAACGGGGGTTGCAAATCCCAACCCTTGAGCCGAGCCGTAAAGATAGAAGTACAACGTTTCAATTTCGTAGCTTAGTAGGGAATGGAGGAATGGGTTGTTGGGACTACTATAGGGGACCTTAAGGGACTATCATAGGGATCCATTCCCCCATTCCCTACTAAGAACAAGAAGCGAAATGGTCAGCGACGGGTGGGAAAAACCTTGAACCCCCAACTCCTTGGGCTTGTCCTAGCTAGGTAACCCGGGAATGCCGCCTTAAAGCCTTAAAACCTTGAGCACCCGCTAGGCAGCAATATTAACAAGAAATAACTATAATAACAAATTCACGATGCAATAACTTTGTTACTGAGGCCACCAAAGCCATGGAGGTCGCCGAGTCGAAGACCGAGAAGCTGGAGGCTTCGCAGGCCGCGCCAGTGGGAATGAGCGGAATTTGGGGTTTAGATGGGGTTGCGTCTGGGTTCAGAAGGTTTTGGAGTTTAGGGGAGGGAAGGGACTTGGGGCATTTTGAAAGTTTCGGGTTTGACTGTTTAGGGGTGGCAATGTTGGTGTGAAGGGTTGTGCACCGGGCATCAGGGAGTCCCAAGCGCAAGATGGTGGTGATATGTGGTGATGTTTGCTTGAGGGGTTGAGGAATGTTTAGGGCTGAGAGTCGAGGGGTTCTGCCCAGCAATTTGCTCCAACTGCAAGCAGCGTTCGCACTGTATTTGCAAGAACTGAACTATATATCGAAACCGAACACAACTTCAACGTGAGACTTCGCACTGATGACGTTTTTGAGATATGTCATAGAACACCGGCATGGACAGGCACGCAACAATTGGTTACCGCTACCATGCTTATGGCTACCAACAACGATGCTTCCACCCGTGTCTTGCTGCTCGTTCTGTCCCGCTTCACGCCTGCAGCCTGCCGGCCTGCTTGCCTGCTTGGCACTGGTACGTCCGACTACGTCACTTTGCAGCTTGACCGCCTGTACAGCTACATACTGGAGCACTGGATCTTTGATGCGGCTGCTGTTGCAGAAGCAAATCGGTGGTAGTAGATCGTATGGAGGCGGTTCAAGGATCTCCATAACAGCAACTGCGGCCATAGCAAGTTGGAGCATATTCAGCCGGATGACGCTGGCAATATAGTCTGTGTTTTGATCGACAGGCAGGGAACGGCCATTCGCCCAGGTGCTTCCGGTTCATGTTGCCTAAGACGCTTAGGAGATCTCGGAGACTTGAAGCCTCCCCCAGGCACCCACAGGCAGGCATCCCATTCCACCCAGTCTCAAGCTCGCTTCTTGCAGGCTGTGAAGAGGGCGTCTGCTCGCCTTCAGGCCGCCATGTTCACCAGCAAGCGAAAATGAGCTCTTGACAATCTCTCGTGACGAGTTGAGTCAGTTGCTACTGCTAGCTAGGCCCAAACTGGAGACAGTGCGGGTATCCGCCAAGACGCAGAACAGGGCTAGATAGCTAGCTGTACAGGGCACAGTTCGAAGTGAGCAGCGATAATTTGTCGAAGTGCTTGAGGTAGTTGTGAAGAAAGTGTCGTTTTCTGACCAGCCATCACCGCAAGAGAGATTGTCAGAACCTGCTCAGCTGTAGCCTCGCAAAGCCACATGCAGGCTCAACTGCTTTAAGGCATCCTGGCAACGTGAGAGCACTCTGCTCTCGGGAGCTTCGGCTTCCAGCTCCTGGGAGAAAGAAGCGAAGACTCTGCCAACATTGGCTGTGTGTCGTTGCGCTTGCAAGCATCCTCCGAGCAGTGAGCAGTGCTGCCGGAGCACCGCGGAGGTACACATATGGTGCATCGCATCTGCCCGTCGAGAACGCCTCCGTTCCAGAACAGGCGTTTCTCCACGAACACGGCGACTGGGTCAAGGCACAGTTATCGCGTTTGTGTCTGTAGTCTGTGAGAGGGCCGAAACTTTCCCAAGTGAGCTCGTTATTGTGGAGCCCACAAAAGTCTTGGCTTGAGTGTGCGAGTCATAACTGCTGTCCTGAGCCTGCAAGGCCTCAAGGCATCAATCCCCTAGCGCAGAGTGACATTGGGCCTGCATGACGGCTTGCATCCCATTTCGAGTGTATCTGGGTACGACGTAGATTATACCGGCATGCAAGGCCGTCGCTTGCAGAACGATCTCTTCACGCTGCCGGGGGATCTTGTATGTACTGTACCGTGCTACACATCCCTAGTCTAAAGGCCCTGCAGATCGGGGGCTCAAATTCTAGACTCCACCGTCCCACACCCTGCCTAAACCATAAAAACAATTAATTAATAAAATTAATATAGTCCCTTGAACCCTGCACCCTAAACTCCTAAACCCTAAACCCCTAAGCCCTGCACCAAAACCCCGAACTACTCTCGGAGCCCTGCCCCTGGAGGCCCCCATGTCGCGAAGAAGCGTGGCCCACATTGCCGGAGCCTCTGGCTGTCCTAAGCTTTCCTGGGCTTGGAGTACCATACTATACTATAATATACTATATAATACTATATAATATATCTTCAATAGTTTTTGGGCCTGTTCCTCAAAAGAACCGGGATGAACTAATTGTCTACACTCTTTTCGAAGTCCGGCTTTAGGAATTTGGGGAGGGGCCCGGAACCCTGAGACCTTGAGGCAGACCCTCATCACCTTCGAAGCCAGAGGCTTCAGCCTGCAGGGGCCCTTTCACAACAAGGATCCTGCAATTTGCAGGCTTCTGTCTTCCTACTTCCTGAAACCTCCCATATGCCTGATTTAAGGATCTCGCTCTAGGGTTGCGACGGTACTGGCCATGATCCAATGATGCTGCAAAGGAATTCGTGTTTCGATTCGACAACCTCCGAGTTTAATAGCACACCCTAAGCCTATCACCCCTAACATGCACCGCCAGAAGAACACGGAAAGCATAGGAAGAAGTCGCGCTGCACAAGTGCGTGTCGCTGCGGAGGTCATAACCTTGGAGGATTTCACTAAGTACGAGTACAGGGTCCAGCCACGGCCCCAGTTCCGCTTTGACTCTTCGTCATATCCGATTCCTTCAACCGTCTGTTATTTTTTGCCATGGGGATTCAGTTCTTCTTGAGCAGGGTAAGTAGGGTTCTAGAGCTTTGCGCAGCTGCGCCCATGATGCATATGTGCCACAAAGGCCGCAAAGGTTGTCATGTGTCAGGGTTTCCAAGAAGTAGCCCTCAAAGGCCTTGACTTCAAATCCTGTCACCTCGAACTTTGTTCCACCTGGATGCTGGGATGAAGAAAGGCGGAATTATGTCGACATCTCTGTGGTGGTGGTGGCTCTTCGAACCGAAGCGCAGCACAAAAAAGGCACTAGCCCTGGCCAAACCCTGAAACCCAAGATTCTTCCCGTCAAACGAGTTCCCTGCGGTGCGACTTCGTCAGCTGGGCGGGTGGGAAAAAAGAGACTCTTCCCCAATGAAACCCCTCCCTTCCCCAGCTTGAAGTGTAAACCCCAAACCCTAAACCCGTGAAAAAAACCCCTAAACCCCGTGACACCAGGCCGGTCATCTATCCGCTCCTGTCCCTGTGCAGCCAGGCAAGGGCCCGCATTGCCCGCAGAGGAAAACCCAAGCCAAATCATCTTTTTTCTACTTTTCTCTAGTATAAGCTATCCAGGGTTTAGGGTTTAGGGTTTAGGGATACTCGTGTTATGTCATGCCATATTCGATGATCTTCGGTGGTAGCCTGTTCTGTTGAAAGTTGTTGTTTCACACTGTGCTTCAACTCGCAGGCGCCACCAAGCTGTGCTTTATGCCAGTAGAAACATAGTACGGCATGCTGCATTGTAGTGTATGAGTGTTCGAGTAGAGCAGAATTGTCGTTTTACTTAACTGTGGTAGCGAGAAGGTACACGTAAATAAGTATATGCACTGCAGCTGGCGAACCGAAGTGACAAATCCCAAACGTTTGAAGCACACCCAAATCCCGGTTCCGAGCCGTCTGCCTAGAGCCAGGTTTTGCACGTAGCCCAACAGACAGATGCCGAGAGCTAAATATCAGTTAAAAGGAGTAGTTTCTTGGATTGGATAGCTGTGTTCTTGTTGTGCTTTCAGTATGCCGTATTCCTTAACTGCGACCATGGTCTGTCGGAGGAGCCTTCTCCTCGACTGCAGATGTGCTCTTGTTGCAGCTCGTAAAGAGAATCGTCGTCAGGTCTCTGGGGTGTTGGCATTGTTCTGCTGGGCCTTCTTCAAGAGTCCGTTGGCCTCAGCCTGAGTCAGGAGTGGAGGTTCGGGGTCTGCGGGTCTGCATAGGACTTTCCTCTCCGAACGTCCGGCACGTTGATGAGGGTTTTTGCTTGGGCTTCGCATGTTGAGTGTTTTGGCGTTGTCAGCCCTGACAGAGTTCGGAGCTTTGCAGCAGCTGGGAGATGCATGTCAGCTTGGCAAGTGATTTGGTCTGTCCGAATGTGCAAGGTCATGGAATGAGCTAGACAGCTCTTTGGTCCAAACATGGCGCAATGGCAACCTAGATATGGCTCGAGGGTTTAAGGTCTCAACATCTCGCTCTCAGCTCAACACACCTAGCCGGAGCACCCTCAGCTCCTGACTCAGCTAAAACACGAACCTCAACCCGCAGGGCTTGCACAGCTATGCGGTAGTAGGGGAAGCGAGGCAACTAGAAGGTTGCTCCGTGTTGACTAGCAAATCTACACTTGGGGCAGGCACTGTCTTGCGAGAAACCTCCACTGCGAGCGATGCATCAGGCGCCAAACCCTCAACCCTCTAGTCGACACTGTGGCTGTAGCTTCTAAGTCCGGAACCTTATCCCCAGACGCAGGCTTGTACCACAACTTAGCGCGAATGCCATGGAGTCCACAGCCGTGGACGACATCGCAGAAGAGGAGGGTGGCATTGACGAGGATCGGGTGCAGAACCGGGCCGCCCGTTCGTTGGAGGCACGATGGCGATGGGAGTCACTGCTGGAGGATGGGCCCATCGGAAGGGTCCAACCGCCTTCGGCAACGCCAGCAGCCCCGGAGATGGCAGCTCCAGTTCGTGCGGCCGAAGAGGCTACGTTGCGCCGTGGCGTGATCCGCTATGTCTACTTGGCCGTAGACATGACGGCTGCGGCTGGTCGCACCGACGTCCGGCCACGACGTTTGGATTTCCTTTGCCAAGCTGCCACCCGTTTTTCGGCGCGGTTCCTTGCAGAGAATCCGCTCTCCGAGATTGGCCTGCTCGTCCTCCGTGATGGGAAATGCCAGGCCCTCGCTCCTCTGGGTACAGCGCCGGCCACGCTGCGCAGCTTCCTGGCGATGGCGGCACAAGAGGGTCCCTCCGGTCGCACCGCGGCCGTCGCAGCGCTGCAGCGAGCGGCCGAAGGCCTGGGCGGGGCACCACCCCATGGCTCGCGGGAGCTCTTAATGCTTTTCACATCGGTGTCCACCTGCAACCTGCATGACTTGAGCATGGAGGACGTGGGACAGACGCTGCGGGAACGCAAAGTCCAGGTTTCGGTGGTTTCACTCAGCCCAGAGATCTATGTGCTGAAGCGTGTCTGCGTCGAAACCTTCGGGCGCTTTGATGTCGCCATGAGCACGAAGCACTTCGAGGAGATCCTCAGTTCCCACCTCTCTGCGCCCGCCTGCACCGCCGGACAGTTGGCACCGAAGCTCGTTCGCATGGGTTTCCCAAAGATGCTGCAGCCGGAGGCAAAAAAACAGCCAGAAACGTGTACTTGCCACCTCGAAGTGCACGGAACTTTGTATGTTTGCCCTCGATGTTCTGCTCGTAGCTGCGGCTTGCCCAGCCGTTGCAAAATCTGCGACCTTCCCCTGGTGTCGGCCAGTGTGCTTGCGAGGGCCTTCAGGAGTGTGGTGCCGCTGCCGGCCTTTTCCGAGGGTGTGCTGGCAACTTCTTGCGGAGCTTGCCTTCTGCCTATCCATTCATCAGGGCGCCAGTGCCCCAGCTGTAAGGCCAGCTTTTGCCAGGCCTGTGATGACTTCATGCACACCACGCTTCGGCAATGCCCAAGCTGTCTTGCCCAAGCCGGTGCAGCGAGACCTGACCGGGATCCGCAGTGAAAAGTTACAGGGCCAGGGTTTCTTAATCAGGTTCCTGCATTAGCCCTAAAGGCCCATAAGGCTTAAAGCCCGAACCGCAAGTCCTCGAAGGCAGGTCGGCGAATGGTCGGCCTTCCCCAGCCGAAGAGTGAGGATGAGGCTCAGAACATGCTGCATGAAAGCTGCCCCGAGAATTTCGGGCTTTACTTTGAGGTTCAAGCAATTAGGTTATATAATACATAGGCCTAGGCTATAGTGAGTCTAGGTTTGGGTGAGCTGAGGGTTCTTGAAATATCGAGAGACCAGCAGGTGCTGCTCCAATCCTCCATAATTCCCTATACCATCATTGCCTACACTATTTTTTTGGGGGGTTCCTTGTTATAAGTATAGCATCTTGGACTGCCAAAACCCTACATCCGTTTTGTTTGCCAGGGTGATGTCGAGGGACCGCCCAGAGCCTGGGCCCCAGATCCCAAGAAAGGCAGCGAGGGCGTCCGAGGGATATACTATACGGGCTTCCTATTTTAATTATGGGTATTTAATTATGGGTACTACAAGGGTCATTTTAGGGCCATTTTAGGGTTCCTTTTAGTATTAGGGATACTATGAGGGATGGCCGACGGTTTCAGAGGCATGCCGCATAGTACTGTCGCCCAGGGCCGCCAGCAGGTCGCGACAACAACACATGCTGGTGCGCAATACAGGAGCCAGTGCTGGCGTGTCCCTAAAGCCTAAACCCATACCACGACCGTTGGGCCTTCACCTTTGCAGGTTGGGTTTGCGGTCAACAGGGTTTGAGGCTCAGGGCCTGCTTCACGGCGATGGGTAGCTCCGGGCAAGAGAAGCCTGCAAAAAGGGCCAGAGAACCAGGCGGGCATGTACAATCCTGTGCAAAAGCGGAGCTCCAGACTTAAACTGTCATCTGACGAATGGGGAGATGCTCCCGGAGGTCTGGAGGCTGAAGGTTGATAGTAAGGCGGAGGCGTGTAGGGCCTTAGGGCACCTAGAGACTCTAAAGATTGTTTGGGAGATGCTTTGGCAGTGGACTTCTTTTCGCGTAATTTGAGGTCTGTCCGGCATACCTGCGAGTAATATACGGAGTCTACGGCGTCGACTAATCATCCGACTTAAACCCTAACGGCCAATCAAGCTAGTTTCAGCCCCACTCGCCCCCGAATGCAGGAGTATTGTGGGGGAGGACGGCGAGGACGGGCCTTCAGTGTGAGCTCTTGCAGTGAACGTCCGGAGCAGTTTCGGTAGTCCGAACAAGCCGAGATGTGCTTTGGCGTCTAGTGCCACGCTTTCACGACCTCCTACCTCCTGGGTTTGAAAGACTCCGACAGGATGAGGAGCAGCAGTCATTGCTGGAGGATCGGTTTCCCTGAGCTTTTTCTGGGCTCGGATTGCGGGTTGAGGTTCGATGTTCGGAGGTCCTTACAGTGGATTGAAGGGTCTGAAAGCAAACAACCGATGCCCTGGACACCCGACACCCGACCAGAAGCGGCTTGATGTTTCAAGGGAGACGACGCTGGTGCACCAAAACGGAGGTTTTTCACGGCGGAGTGTAGCTCGCTACGGCTGCCGGGGCTCACAGCTGCTTTGAGAACTGATGTCTTGAATCTTCTCAGACTCCGGAAGGCCCCTCGTCATCTGCTTTTTCAGGACTGAGCCTTTGAAGGGGCTCTTATGCCGCTTATGCTGTTTGTGTTCGCAGCAGTCCGGAAAATTGCGCCTTCGCCATGTGGCCATAGATAAATGGTAGTTTGGCTGCCTTGCCCTTGAAAGGGCGTTTTAACACCCATGGCGGCGGAGACGGAGCGGAGATGGCGCAACATCCTCACCTCGCAGATGATCCCGGAGGCCTGCGGCGAGGGGAAGCTATCGGAGCCCTCCACCGCACGGGCAGCCGCCTCGTCGCCGGAGCTGCTTGCCGCGAGCCGCTGCATCCTGGCCATCGACATGGACTGCTTCTATGCTCAGTGCGAGGAGATCCGACACCCGCATCTGAAAGGGAGGCCAGTGGGCGTGCAGCAGAAGATGCTGGTCATCACGTCCAACTACGCAGCGAGGGCCTGTGGCATCAAGAAGGGTGACTCCTTGCAGGTGGTCCGTGAGAAGTGCCCCGAGATCACCATCTGCAACGGTGAGGACCTAACCTTCTACGGGGAGCTATCGCAGCGGGCCTTCGATGTTGCAGCACGCTGGAGCTCGAAAGTGGAAAAGCTGGGTCTGGATGAAGTCTTCGTGGACGTCACCGAGCTCGTCGCCGAGCGATTCAAAGCTCTGGAGGATCCCGGAGCTTGCTTACGCCTGGCCTCTACGGGTCACGAGTACCCCAAAGAGTCGGAGAGCGGTCGTAGCGAAGTGCAGGAGGTTGGGCAGGCGGACTGGAAGGACTTGGATGACGCTCACCGCTGCTGGGCTCGTTTGGCCCTTGCTTCGGAAATTTGCCGAGAGATCCGCGAGGCCATTCTTTCGGAGATTGGGCTAACATCCTCTGCCGGCATCAGCGTTTCCAAACAGCTGGCAAAGATGGTGTCTTCCTGGAAGAAGCCCAGTCAGCAAACGCTGTTTCTGCCAACGGCCGATCGCTTGGGACATCTTCTGCCAGATGATTTGGCCGTGCAGAAGGTCCCTGGCATTGGCTTCGCCTCAACCCAGAAGCTACACGAGCTGGGTGTTCGCACAACGGGAGAAGTGCTTTCTGCCGTGGTGCCCGAGGGCGAGGAGTATGGGAGGCTGCTTACGGAGTTCGATGCTGGGGCATTGCGGACCATGAAAGCGCTCTGCTTGGGCATCGATGCATCGCCAGTGAAAGCCTCAGGTGCACCGAAGACCTGCTCCGTGCAAGATTCCTTCTGGCAGGGGCCTGTTCGCACAGATGTGCAGGTCAGAGACAACCTCCTGGCCCTTGCACAGAAGTTGATCACGAAAATCCGCAGTGACGAGCGCATGTATGGATATCGTCCAATCCCCACCTTCTCATTAAGCTTGATGCATGCCCCCAGTTCGGACGGTGGTGCTGCACGTAAGGGTAGGAAGCAGATGCAGCTGGGGAGCTTCCAAATTGCACGACAGCCTGGAGAGCAGGGCGACGATGAGCGGCTGCAGGGTCAGATTGCCGATCGTGCCTTCGGCCTCTTCCGCAAGCTGGTCCCCGAGGAGCCCTTCGTCCTGCACATCCTGAACTTGCAGGTTGGCTTCGGTGAGGCGCTGGGCGCGCAGCGCCGCCTCAGCTTCGGGGCCTCAGCCCCCTCGGCGACTGTGTCCGCGGCACAGCTGCAAGCCCAGGCAGAAGGCATCGAGCTGACTGACAGCGACGGGGACGGGGAGGCAGGGAGGAACAAGACTCCGGCAGTGAGCACGGAGCGCGCTGATGCTGTGGCGACGCTGGTTTCGATGGGCTTCGCGCAAGATCGTGCCCAGCAGGCTCTGGTGCAGTGCGGCGATGTACCACGGGCCGTTGAGATGCTGCTGGCTGATGGGCCCTCCAGCCCCCCAGCGCACCTCCCACATGGCGACGTGAGCAGCCGAGCGGAAAAGCGGCAAAGGCTGAGCTGCCCCGTGCCAGAAGCGAGTGGCGCCATCATCGACTTGCTGGATTAGCCTCGCAGGTGTCAGAGCGACACGTGGAGCAACGCAATGGCCTTCTTGTACTCCGCACGCTTTGGAAAATTTATCCAGCACCCTCCTCCCATAAGCCCTGAACCCAGCAAGTTCGAGGGTGAGAGTTTAAACACACACTGGCAAGCTGCAACACCGCACTTGATTCTGCTAGGTGATGAAGCGTTGAGACTTTGGGAGGACAGCTCAACATTGCTTACGAAAACGGGAGTGAGACTGTTGGTTTCGGAGTTCTGCATTCGAAGAGACTCTGCAAATCCCTGACAGTCCCGTTGCAACGCGAAGGCCTGGGAAGCCGGAATATTTCAATCATCCAACATCGGCAATCACTCGCCGGGAGGGAGCCGTAACATCAAGACACCTATATCGTATACCATCCTATACTTCCCAGAACACCGAAATTCCCGTAGTTTTCAGATTGCCCCCCCCAGCGGCGCAGGTCGAGGCCCGTTCGCCCGGCATGTTGCAGGCAGTCCCCGTTCCCCTTACCAGGGGTCTTGAGGATCCTGTTCTTTAGAACGTGGAGCTCTAATGATTGGGCCCTTTTGTGTAGTCTTCTGCTGGCCTGAAGAGATGGAGAGTGGAGAAAGAGAGTAGATGAGCCGAAGGGTTCTTCCCCACCCCACCGGTCACGAATCATGGTATTGTGGTTAGAGTTAGAGCTGAACCTCTGTATGCTCAAACCTTCAGGCGGTTGCACAAGTCCTGAAGCAAAACGGGAGCCAGTGATGCAGCATGTGCAATTGGAGATGTAACCGGGAGCTGTTGCAGGCTAGGCTAGACTAGATGGGTGGTGTGCTGGAGAGTCCAGATCCGGGACCGAAGCTTCCGACAGCACAAGCCAGCCCCAGAATATCGCTGCATCGTCTCCATCACCTTGGTAGACACGTTGGTGGTTGTCTGTCTTTCTGTTGCCGTGGCTTGCTGTCGCAATCCTGAAGCATACCTATTTGCCCCCCTGCTTTGCTGCACGAATCACCGCCCCACCGCATTTTGATGCAGGCCGGCACTGAGGGCGAAGGGCTCTGACCCAGCGCAGAACCGCCGAAAAGACCACGGACGGCTCGGGCTTTAGAGCCGATCATGTCTTTGTGTTTGTGTGTGCTTTTAGGTTTTTCATTCTGCTGAGGGTGCGTAGAGTTGTAGGGTTTGGCGGGGGCCCGGGGTTGAGCGCTGGACAATGAAAGTAATACATACAGAAGGTCGACAGGACATTCGTGATGAGTGCTAAGACCTTTCCGTAACTCCTCACTAACTAACGCTGATAGCTCCCACTGGTACTTCCACAATGCTGCAGCATGGGGAAACTCGGGAAACGTGGATGTCGACAGCACTGCATGTCGTTTGTCTATCCTTCGTCCAGCCTTAAGTTTGTCGACCTTCCGATGACATGCAAGAGCCCGAGATAAGATGACCCCCCCGAAGGCATGGCATAGAAGCACCATCGTCATTGCGGCAAGTAGTTCCGGAACGAGCGAGCATGCTATGCACAAATACGAAGATTGCGACGCTGCACGGTACAGCCAGGAAGGAGCAGGAGAACCTTGACACCACAAGAGTTGCAGGAATAACAGTCCAAGACGGCTTCAGATGAGCCAGAACCACGACACATCATGAAGAACATAAGCCACATACCATCATGAGAGTCATGAGAGCAAAAGCCTTACTGTGGGCTCGCAGCATGCAGAGCAAGCCCGGAGGATGAAATGAACGGTAAGAGTTTTGGGCAGGAGCCAGACAAAAATGCTGGTCAGCAAGAGACATGTGGGTAGTTCTCTAAATTAGGCCCCCAATATAGCACGGCACCCTTATTAAAAAAAAGGCCCAAACGGGACCCTAATTTAGAGAACTACCACATGTAGCAGTATTCCTGGCGCCGATGTCTTGGACCTGAACCCCAAGACCCCAAAGCCCTAAGCCCCTAAACCCCAAAATCCCTGAANNCCTAAAGCCTGAAACCCTAAAACCCCATGCTCGGCGTGTTTCCGGCGATGGCGCTGCGGTGGCTGGGCCTGGGCTTGGCGGCTCTCGGAGCTTTGCTTGTGCTGCGTGCAGCCAGGCAGGGCTGAAGGGGCGTGGCGTTCAAGGGGGGGGGGGGGGTTTAGGGTNNNNGTGAGCGAGTGATGCTGGGGACCGGGCTGCTGTGTACGAGGCCTGCTGTAAAAAGGGTTTAGGCAGGGTTTAGGTACATACGTACTCAAACAAGAGGGCCCTTGCATGACCTCAAACGTCTCGAGTCAAGCTTGCAAAATCCTCGATAAGATAAGTCATCCGGTATGCATCACTCGTTCTGAACTTTCTGGTTCTTTCTTGCGCTGCTCGTGAGTGCATCCCCTAGGTCTCCCAAGGTAACTGAGGAAGGCTCTGCCCTCGAGCTTCGCTGCCGGCATACACTGCAAGTCCGTGCTTAAACAGTAACAGGGTTTACGTACGTAACCTCCCTTATATAGGGATCTTATACAAAGGGAGGGGTTTGCTTGGGGAGGTGGGGGGGGGGCTAGGCCAGGTGGTGGGAGTTGAGTTTATGGTTCAGTCAGGCCATTGCTTTTGTTGGTTTCGATTTCTCGGGGTGTGCAGCTGATCTGAGATGTTTGACTGATTACGTCATTTGCTGGTCAAAAGTCTCTAGGTGTGTTGAAGGGCTGAGAATGTCAAGGGGAAGAAGGACTGTATTGCAGTCGCAAGTAAGCCATGCTTGTTCCAAGTTGTCTATCTCGAACAGTTTCAGATTTGGAAGGCTTCCGAAGCTATAGAGACCTAGGAAGTGCCTTTTGGTGCCGGGTCAGAAAGTTCTCGCGAGCTGGATGTGTACTACATGATTCGGAGATGTTTTTGGCTCTCTCGGGGAGTGAGAGGGCTTGAGCTGTTGCTGGATGGGGTCGAGGATTCCTGTGATGCTGGTGTCAGAGGCGCTCTTTTGTATAATTTTGTTCCTGTGATCAAAACATGTCTTATGGCTTTTACTGGTAAGGTTCAGGCTCTGTTGGCTTCATGGAGCTTGTCCCCGTCCCAGAGCTAGCAGGAGCCGGAACTGGAAGGATTGTCTCCAGCTGGTGCAAGTTGGGATAGGTATGACAAGCGATTTATAGCACAATTCTTTTAGCAAGTTCCGAACAAGCAGGCATAAGACGGGGTTGCAGAAGGTGTAGCTGCGGTTTACTGGCGGCTGACATATGCTCAGCTAAGCACCGAAAGCTGCCACCCCTCACTCGAGACTCAGAAACCCTAATGGAGGGCCTTACTACTTAGAATAGGGTTGTGGTGGGGGCCCATCATACCATAACCGTAACATGGAGCCCCCAAAACCCTATTCCAAGTATTAAGGCCAGCCCTAAACCCTGAACCCCGAGTTGTGAGAGCGTAAACCCTAAACCCCTAACCTTTAAACCCCTAAACCCTAAACCCGGACACCCTATTCCAGTTAGTATTAAGGCCCTTGCATTACACGACTCTTGCCCGGCAGGCGCCGAAGTGAGACAGCTAGCTCCCGAGGTGCTCAGAGGGAGGCCCGGTTTGAGGGGCTTAAGGATTCAGGGTTAGGGTGTAGGGTTTGAGGGTTTGGGGGTTTAGGGGTTTGGGGGTTTAGGTTTTGTTGGCAGTGATGTTTCTTGAAGGCAATAGACATGTCACAATTACTGCCGGGATCTTTCGACGAGGCCCTGAAGCGGTCAGAGTAGCTGAAGGTTGGAAGACAGGTCGTTTGAAGGGAGGTCTTCATTCTAGGACATTTTCAGGTGGGTAGTTACCGTTATAGGAGCCTTATAGAAGGTCTATATACCTTATAGAAGCCTTATAGAAGCCCTCTATACCCTCAACTCCCCACCTGTAGTTTCCTTTAATTCAATTGTTCGTATTCATAGAAACAGAAACAGTTGTCCTCAAAGCGCACGACTGGATGTTATGTCTTTCCAGTTTTTTTGCCTTTGTCTGCGCTGGGTACCAATCACACAAGTTCACAGAACGTCCCGGGAGAACTGTGATTTGGTCGGGTCTATCCAGAGGCTAAAGCCAGCCAGGGAAAACCCTAGACCGGTGTGAGGCTTTGGGTTTCAGAAGGTTAGGGATCACGGTCCGCAAGCCGAGAAATGCTATTCACGCCCCCAATCTTGGAGGCACCTTTGCCGTCCCCGCGCGAGAAACGCAAGCCAATCGCCGACGATGAGGACGCGCGTGGCAGCGAGGGAATTGCAGAGCATGCTTTCTTCTACACATGAGTGTGCCAGGTATCACACTATCATACTCGTCATAAGCATAAGTCATGGTCATAGTCTGGTAGGTGCATCTCCCAGACAATTGGCAATTGCCATCGCTGGCACGTTTGCAAGAAACAAGGTCTTCCCGTTGTGGAGCCGTGTACCAGCAGCAGCGGCACAGGAGTATCAAGGTGGATGCTGCTGCTGTTGCTGCTGCCCGCATCTCCGCTGCTCCTCCGACTACCTCTGCTCTGTGCCACTTCCACCACCACCACCATCATCATCATCTTCCCCATGCGACTGCCTCTGTCACCCCCATCCTCGGCGTGGGCAGTAATTAGCTGACGCTTATCACCGACATGTTATCATCCGCCCTCGCAGTTCCCATTTCGGCAAGACTTGCAACAGCTTCCGCACCCGTGCGAGGAGTCTGCTTTGGCCTGCGCCCACACCGAAGAGGAAGGATTGGAGGAGTCTCGGGGCTTCATAGATAGATTGGGTTCCTGTCTACTGCTGTTCTCTTTCTGGTGTTACCTGGTACAGGTCAGGATTTTAAATGTAGGCTTCAGGGTCAAATGCGTACCGAGGCGGTTTAGGCGTGTAGCTGTCTCCAACACAGACCACTTGCATTTTCGACTGGCAAACTTGGACTTGGACCGTGTCGATTGCTAACCAGTCAACAAAGTTGAAGCTACTAGTTGATGATCCTGCCGGCGTGTTCCATGCACGTTTTTCTGTGCACGAAGCTACAGCATCTACATTCAATAAACCGAACAGCCTTCTGCAAGC